ACAAAATTATTGAGTATCTTTTCTTTATAACTGTTAACTTTAGAATAGCTTTAAATTAGCGAAACAAAAACTGGGAAACAGTAGAACATTTTAGTGTATCCTGTATCTAGCTTCCTCTGTATTGACAGCTTAATTTAGTATGACAATAATTTGTGTACCACATCCAGCTTCTCCTGCTTTTTAAAGTTCAGCTTCCTCTCACTCTGCCTTACCTCCTAGCCTATAGTAATCAACAGTCTGTATTCAGATTTAGGCTAGCTTTTTTTAAAAAAAAATTTATTCGAAAGTCAGATATACAGAGAGGGGAAGATATTCCGTATGCTGATTTCATTGCCCCAGTGGCCACCACTACCAGAGCTGAGCCAATTCGAAGCCAGGAGCCCGAAGCCAGGTGACCTGGGAGAACAGTGGGGGATGGCCCAAAGCCTTGGGACCCGGCACCCATGTGGGAGACCCCCAAGAATCTTCAGGCCCCTGGCTTTGGATCAGCTCAGCTCTGGTTGTGGTAGCCACTTGGGGAGTGAACCAGTGCATGGAAGGAAGAAGGCCTCTGTCTCTCTCTCTCTCCTGTCTCTAAATCTGACTTTCCAGTAAAACAAACAAAAACCCTCTTCAGTGATTGGCTGACACTGTGTCAGGATTGCCTTGTTTCAGGTGCATTCCCCCTGCTGGTGTGATGGAAGTCTCTGATCCTGTCTGGCCTCTGCAGGAGCTATTAGCACTTCTGTTTGGACCTTTGCATTTGCTTTGCCCCAGGCTGAACCACCTCCCATTTTTACCTTTAAGCTCTCATCTGAAGCAGTTGTACATCTTTGTAAAAAATCAAATTTCATGTTATAAAATGTCATAGTGCCTCACCACATATTTTTAATAGCATTGAATTTTGTGTGCACTTAGCTGCCGGAATTTGCATGCTTACTATGTACTGTCTTTTTCTCTAAGTCGAGTGTAAGTTTCATGAGGACTGAGACAGTTTCAACATTTACGGAAGCCCAGAACAGCTCTGACTGTAGCTGACAAGTACTGAATGACTGACTGAGATGTGTAACTTCTGCAATTGTAACATCAGGCAATTAATTCTAGAGTGAGGCACAAGCATGTTGGGCCATGGGTGGTGACTGCGAAGCACTGTTATTTGGTAATACTTATGTTATTGTTGCACTGGTTTTCTTTCCTTGTCATTCTGTTTTATCCATTGAAAGTTAACACAAATGATAGTTTTTTGTTTTAATTTTTTTTCTTTTTTTTCGTTGTTTGTTTCTAAGTATTATTTTAATTGTTTAATTTCCTAGTGAGGATTAAGAACATCCCAGAATTTGGTTCTTCTTGAAAGAGCATCAGAGTAAAAAATATTCTGTAATTGAATCTTTGCAGTATTAGAAGTTTACAATTGAAATAAAAAAGGACATAACTGATTATTTACATTGTGAATTTTACTATTCAGAATGTGTTCAGTGTTTGATTTATTTTAGCTGATAAGGCATTCAAGTTCTAGAATTCTCTGACGTTCCTAAATCAAGATATTATAGCTATTTGAGTTGATTTTATTTAGATCTTAGGAAACTTTGAAGCATAAAATAATATCAGAACTTTTTTTATATTTGTTTTTTGTAGTTTTCACTACATAGCTATTGTTGGCAGGTAGAAATATACTTTTGAAGACTCCGAAGGTTTTAATAATTCTTTGAATATTGGCTTGGTACTATTATTTACAGTTTGAAAATTGTATCTTCAGTAAGATTTCAGTTGCCACTGCTCCTGAATTCTCCCTGTGAATGTAAACTTCAAAAATAGGGAAAGAGTCAGCCGGAAAAAGAAAATTAAAAAAAGGTGATCTGAGCATTTATGCGTTAAATATGCATGTTAATTAGGAGAAAAATTAGAAAAAATATGAAAACAGATGTTACATAAATTATTGCAGTCCCCGAGCAGCAATAACTCACATCCTGACAACAATTTTTATATGTGTATGTGTATCTCTATTTCTAGATTTCTCAATATTTATGCAATTCCTGAGAGAATAACTAGAAAAAGAACTGGTATATCCTTTCAGTGTAACTGTGGTAAAATTCTTTCTGCAGACAGGTTGCTCCGGAAATCCAAGTGTTTCATACAGTTTTAGTGTAAATACTGTAGTGTTCTCCTTTCTTTCTTGATTTCTTTGTTGGTATATAGTTTGTCGTTTTTGGGGGTGAATTGTGCCCAGCAAGATTGATTAATGATCTTAGTTATGTAACAAATTCTATGCTGCCTTGTAATTTAAAATTAGTTTAAAAATGTGGCTTAACATTTAACAAAAAATATCAGTAACTCTACTCAGGACGTTGGTTATACTGCCACATTTACTTTGGGTGTTTGTCACACGTTCTGCAAAACTAGTCTTTCCTGAAGAGTAGTGACTCAGTAGTGTAAGAACATGTATTGAAAGTTCCTTAAATAAACATATACTAGGTGTATAGTGCGCATATACATATAAATGTAAGACATATATATATATATATATGTTGGCGTGATTGAAAGGTATTTATATAGCCTTTACCCTATAGAGTCGTCCATAGAATAAAACAATCTATTTTTTCAAATGAAACATGAGAATTGGAAATAGGATTGGCTTTAGTTTAGTGTGTAGCATTTTTTAGTTCTTCCGTAGAAGAAAGATCATGGGAACATACTGCTGTCCAAGGTGCGGTTAACAACATGTAGATATTTTCCAAATGTGTAATGTAATTTGGAAAAGTACTATTTATAATTTTCCAGGAAACACTGAAAGCTGAAGTTAGGAAATGCTGCTTAGAATGGAATATATGTTTTGATTATCCTACTGATAGAAAGCATGAATTATATTCAATAGAATGGATATACCTTGAAGGGCATAAAACAGTTTCTGGAAATTCTTTAGTAGGAAAGTGACAATTGCTATTTGGCTTTTGTAGCATATGATGATCAAATGTTTGAAGTAAAATTTGAACTTGATTTTCGTAAGTTTCAGCTTGATTTGTTTTTCAGTTCTGTGTTATTGATGTTTTTTATGTAATGTTGCCTAACTACTTGGTTTTTTTTACATGTGCTGAATCAATAAATGTTTCTTTGTTGAATTTTATGGATTGATAGAATGAAATTTAGAGAATAATGTTTGTCAATTTATTAATAAGAGATTATTTAAGTTAAATACCCTATTTAAGAAAATCAGTTATTATTCTTACAGATTTTATGTAGAAATATACTCCAAATATGATAGTTGGAAGTATAGTACTGAAGGTGAGAAGATGTCTTTTTGTCTTGAAAAGGCTATGAAAATTAATTTATAACTCAGAAGTGATATTTGCTTGTCATCATTGATAGAGTATTCTAATTCTAAATTTTATTAATGCTCTGAAATTCAGTTTTAATGGAATTTTTTCACATTTGTTTTCAAATGTCAAATTTCCATTTTTTGTATTATGTCATTTTAAAATGTGATATTCTGTGCGTTAGAATAGGATGTTCGCTTTTTGCCCCCACCCAGGTGGCAGAGACAGGCGGGGCTCCAGGCTGGGCCTGCCTGAAGTCACCTTGAGCCTGCGTGCTCCTCAGGAGCCAGGGACAACTTCAGAGGCCTGCTGAGGTCTTTTTGCCTCTGCTAGGAGCGCTCCGGGAACTTGGAGTTAAGGATGTGTAGGGAGATTGGGGAATTGCACAGGGGAACGAGAGCGATGACCTGCAGATTCATGCCCAAGTGAGGAATTACTGCTGAGGGCATCCGTGGATAAGGGCATTGTATGTGTAGGTAAGGAATGACTCCTGAGGGACTCCTAACGACAAGCACTGTACTTGCAGGTAGGCAAGAGGACTTAAACCTGGTGGTTGAAGGGGAGAGATGGGGAGAGATGGGAAGACCTTTATTGGTCAGACCAATGTACCAGCACAAATGGGAGTTCTGAGCTAGGCTTGTTAGCGTGGAACATTGCTGACCACCACAAGCCAAAAGCTAGGGTTGGATGTCTGTCTGGCAGGGCTAGATTCCAGTACATGGTAGTGAGTGTTGTAACCGTGGACAGATCACATCAGGCTGGGACATGACACCAACCAGCACACAAGAGAACCAGGTCTAGGGGTAGATCCTGTAGAGGATATGTGGGCCTAACCCTGTGGAAATACAAGTCCTGCTGCTTAGCTTAAGAATTGGGTGGTGAAGGGCTGAGCTAGGCATGGCCATGGAACCTGCCATCACTCCCGGGTACTGGGGCTGGGAACAGGCTTGACAGGAGGATACAACTGTACAGTATAATCTGTGGAGGACACCTGGTACCATAACAGAAGACAGAGGATAGGACAAATTGATCAACTACCCCAGCCATATGTTGACATTGAAAATCTGGGTGGACTGTGTCAGCCCGTGGATTCTGGAGAGATTACATTGTGTTTGGAGTGGTGAGATTGGCAGCAATTCAAAAATGTTGAACTATCAGAACCACTTGAATAGTGCCCTTGGGAGCATGCCTCACATCAGGAACTCTGGGATGATTGGGAGGCTGGGTGTGGCTTCTCCCTTTATCTCCTCTTTCCCCCAGATACAGGAAGGAAAAAAGAGAAAGTGGAAACAGTGGCCTTACTCACTTTCCTGTAGCCCTTGATCCTTTGTGCCCTAATCAACTATGCAAAGATCATCAAAAATATTTTTAAAAATACGAAGAAAGAATAGTATTTTCATTCTTTCAATATTTTTGTCATTTTAGTGAAAAGTTACATGAAATTATAACAGATGATTTATTTTATAGTAAGCATCTTTGATTTTCTATTTGTTTTTGCATCATAATACCTTTTGTTTTTGTAGTTAAAAGACCTTCCTTTCTTCTAAGAATTAAGATAAAGAGTGATTAATGAATGTGGCTGAGTTTTGTACTTTATGACTCTTCTATTTTGATATGAATTTTTAAATCTTGGTGTTTTTCTTTGGTTTGGTTTAGGGTTTCTTCTGGAATGTAAGTATTCAAAGCTGTCTCATTTATTTATCTTTCCAGAAACTCAGTTGCGGGAGAATTCAGGCTTGCCTGTGTTGGATTCGTCTTTGTTCCTGTTTGTCTGCCCTGACGTGTCTGGGGAGGACTCTGTTGACCTGAGTGGAGGTCATTCTTGACCCGTAACAACAACATGCATTTTCAAGTGTCAAGTATGTTTATGGATCAGTAAATTTGCTCTGAAAGGTAAGTGTAGCTTTAATCAAAGTACACATGTAAAAATCACATAGTTTTACTTCCCCTCGGTGCTAAAAATGATTCTGTAGTTTTATTTCTAACTACTAAGAATGTGTATTTGTGTGTATGTGTGTGTATAATCAAAAATATATATGCACGTGTTTGTACTATTTCTGACAAATGTAGACTGACTCCTTAAGGGAGTGTGTTGTGTTTCTAACGAGGATTTCCTGATTGGTTCCTCTCCATCCCTACACTCGGTCGCTCCCCGTTTTCTGTTCTACTCTGTGTTCTTACTGCTTTGCTTCCTGTTTAGCTGAGTCCAGCTAAAGAAGCCTGTTCCCAACAGCTGACTACTAGCACTGTTAGGTTCTGCTGTTTGTGTCCACATGCCTTGTTGTTGATGTATTTCCCTCCGAGCCTTCACTGCATTCATTTAAAACGTCATGAATCTAAGGGATTAAACCTGAGGTGAAGTTACCTCTCTAGGCAGGATCTACTGCATTTCCCCCCATCATAACCCATAGTGAGAAACAGATTTTTACACTTATGAACTACTTTTTATAGATGTTAACAAAAATGAGAGGTTAAATGATTCTTATGCTGAATACTTCACGATTTGTTTTGTTACATTCTTTATGTGTTTTATTCAGTATGTGCTGGTATCCATTACTAAGCTTGTTTGTTTTTAAAGATTGCTTTTATTTAGTTGAAGGGTAGATTTACAGAGAGCAGTCTCCCATCTGCTGGTTCACTCTCCAAATGGCCACAGTGGCTGAGGAGGGAACTGACAAAGACCAGGAGCCCAGAACTTCTTCCAGGTCTCCCGCATGGATGCAGAGGCCCAAGTGACTGTGACTGCTTCTCACCACGTTTGAATTCTGTCATTCTTGAATTAGGAAAGGCAATGCATGGCTGAAAACTGAGCAGCCTTGCACTTGTCCTTCTCTATGGTCTCCCATAGTTCACCTCTTGGGCTTAAATATCTAATTTCAATTCTTTGCAGCCCACATCTTTTCTAAGAGCTCTCACAATTTCGTTAGTTGTTGAGCTGTAAAGCATTTTTAAAAATAATTTCTCCAGTATGTCTGTATGTTCACATGTCCACTGAGGACATGCTTACCTGTAGTAGACACACTTGTATGCCATCAGTTTACTTAGCACTTTCTTTGGGAGTACCTGCTGTTATGGAAGTAATCATTAGAAAGTAGACAGTTACAATTTTTATTAATTTATTTTTATTTGGAAGTTAGCTAGATCAATCTTTCATCTACCGGAACACTCCCCAAATGCCTGCAGCAGCTGAAGTTGAGCCTGGGAGTATCCTGAGGCCCAGAGCTCCTTCTGCGATGGTAGGGATCCATGTAGTTTGCCATTAGCAGCTGCGTCAGAGGGTCTGTATTGCGAAGCAGCTGGGCCACAAGTAGAGCCAGGACTCAAGCTCTGGGCCCCTGGGCTGCAGATGCTGTAGGTGGTGAAGCAACAACTGCTCAAGCGTCCACACTCGGGAGGAGGTATCTGGTGCTCCCTACAGCCTTTCTTAGATTCCTTCTAAATGCAGTTTCTGGCTTGTTTCAGTCCACTTTTAGCATAATACAATTCTCCTGTTTTTTCTGTTGTGCACCTGCCTTTTGTCATGGTCTGGAGTGTGGGATGTGCTCGTAGGTTGGGAGAGGTTGCCCAGCATTTTATGAACTGTGAGAGGGATCCTCAGAAAAGGTTCCTTTCCATAAGCTAATGGTTCCTGCGTTATAGCCTAGTCTCTCACCAGCCTTGAGCGAAATCCTTAGAAGAATATTTACTGTTGAGAATCTGACAGTTTCCCTGGCCCCCTTCAAGTATATTAGGGTATTTCCAAGCTTCATGGAGATTTTGCAACATTTTTAAACTCCATTTTTCCACAAACAGTTGAAATCCTGTTGAACATCTTTGCTTGAGGTGCCATTTGATCTTCTGGGGCCTGGTTTCTGTGTTTGGTACTGACCTAAAACCACTTATTGTAATCTTAAATCAGAAACTTGTTGGCAAAATTCTTGTTCTGAAAGTCTGTTTTATTTTCTGATACATTGTGTTCTCTTGTAAGCTGATGTTTTTGTTTTGAATTTTTAAAACTCCAATCCCATCCCATCAGTTTTTCAGAATTGAAGACAACAAACTGTGATGCCTTTTAGATTTCATGGTAATCATGTGTTTTGAATAGTGGATAAGAACAGTCCTCTAATATGTTTCATTGAATTTAAAAACTTTAAGTGGAGAGGCTCTTTGGGAAGGTACGGGAAGGGGAGGGATCAGCCTCTGTTTGTACACTGTACAATGTCAGCTTTGAGAGTAAAATCTATCTGAAATAATTTCCCTGGTCAATAAGTGTTTATTAACTTTTTACGCTAGGGCAGATACTTTTCTTCAAGAGAGAGGTGGGGAGAGAAGGGGAGACAGAGAGAGAGAGAAGGAGAGAGATCCTCCTTCTGCTGGTTCACTCTCTAAACCAACCGCTGCAGTGGCTGGAGCTGGGCGGATCTGAAGCTCGGAGTCTGGAGCTTCTTCCGAGTTTCCCACTTGGGTGCAGTGCTCCAGGACTTGGGCCATCTTTTACTGCTTTCTCAGGGTATAAGCATGGAGCTGAATCAGGAAGTAGAGCAACCAGGGACTCAAACTGGTACTCATTTGGAATGCCAGCGCCAGCAGGCAGAGGATTAGCTTGTTGTGCCACTGTGCCTTCATACATAAATATTTTTAAAGATACTTAGCTTTTTTAAATTGAATGATATGAGGCAGAGTGTTTTCATTTGTTTTCTCCTTTTTAAAGTTGTATTGGTTTTTCTCTATGTGCACAATGTAATTCTCACTGCTATGATAATAGGGAAACAAGTGAATTCTAAATAGCAGTGAATGTGGAAAACAGAATCTGGTTTACTTCCTGTTTCTCTTAAAGTTTTACCAGTGTTAAGAAAGCATGAGCTTCAAAGGTTGTTCCTTGCATTCCTGGAAGTTTTCTAAGGTACTTAAGCACGAAAGGAGGAGGAATGCTTTTCAGTCAGGAGAGGTTATATGAACCCCATAATCAGACAAATAGAAAATTAACCCCTGTGTTTAAATGTGGCTGTATTTTTTTCTTTGCATGCACCTGTATAAATAAAATACACATTTATTACGACTTCTGTTTGACATGGAAATTTTACAGTTTGAACTTCAGCTTATTCCCACTTAAGACGTATGTTGTAGTCTGCCCAAAACTGACCCATTTCTTTTAATTTTCAGTTTAATTTGTAATGATTTAACAATTATGCCACTGACATTGTGGTTATTGAGACACTAAGGTTTCAGCTATTAAAAACATTTCTAAAATTTTATAGGCAATATGAATAATTATTTTGCCTGCATTTAGGAGTTTTATAATTTACCTAGTATGCTAGTAACATTTACTGAAGAATTACTATAAACCCCAATCCTTGGAATAATGTTTGAAACCTATGCTCTTCTGAACAGCTGATCAGATGTTGCATGTATGTTTGGATCATTTATACTACAGACTGAAAGTCCAATAAGGACCCACACATAATAGATTTAAGTTGGTGCTGTTAGAACTATTTCACCCACATTACTCAGCTATAGCTGTCTGAAATAAAACTTTATGAAATAAGCATGTGAAATAGCTATTTAAAATACTTTTAATCCAACAGCATGCATTTTAATTCTTACAAGTAAAACAGAGGAATACTTCTAAAGGAAGTTTTCAGGTCGAGTGCATTGGTATGTTTTTGGTATTATTGGTCAAAGATATTTTAAAAAATATGTTTATTATTACTTTTGTAAAATACATGAGCTTCTGTTATGTCTTCCATGTTAATCTAATTTCCTATTAAAGTCAGAGATTAAGGGGAATTGTGTACCAGTAAGGTTCTAAAACCTTGACATTATTTTAATCTGATAACAAATGGGTTTAAGTTCATGTTCTTTCAGTTGTTGGCAACACATCTAAACCTGTATTTTTTGGATTTATGAGGATAAGTCCTGCTTTGGCAATCTTGTAGATCCTCCAGAGAATATTTAAACAGTGATTAATCATTGTTTCTTCACTGAGTGTGCAGAAAAGAATGGAAAAGCTGCATTTCACACTTCTGAAGCAATTAATCCCCATGATCTTAGCCAGGTTTGTCTTGTAGATAAGTCGGGATACAAAATGGTACCTAATTTATCAATGTATGCGTGCCATAAAGTATAAAACACACAATTTATTTCATATCATTTATAGTCAGATGTAAAAAAAGAGTGACTTTGCCATATCCAAGAGTGCTTCCTACATTACCTTCATATAAACTAAGTACCAGAGATTACAATGGGATTCCTGTTTATTGTGCACATCTGGTGCAGTCACTATGCATTTTCTCATTCACTTGCTGGCATTTTTAGTGATTGTGGCATAAATCAACTTGCTAATCAGAAACATAAGTGACGGGAAGTCATCTCCTTTTTTTGAACAATGGGAAAAAACATATGGCTTCTTAGACAGTACTTGGCTGTTATACTATTTATGTGGCATTATATTCTGTATTTAGAATTTCATATTAATTGCAGTGGTTGGTTTAAGCCATTGAACACCCAGGATTTTGGCCATAGTTGTTTGTTTTATACTACTTTTATAACAAACAAGAAAGGTAAAATTGAATCTTTTTTAAAAAGAAGAAATATAATGAAAACTACTTCAGGAAGAGTTTTTAAAATTAAGGTGAATTTGAGGAAGTATATACTAAGAAATTTCTGTAGGTGCTTAACTGCATAGAAGCAGTGACTCTAAATTGTAAGTTTTTTTTTTCCCATTGTGAAATACTGTGCTGATCAGAATAAAAGTTACTGTCTTTGAGGTGCTGAAGTATAATTCAAGACAGTTTGTTTTCTTAGAAGTAGTAGTATTTCAGGATGACTTGCACTTTGGGTGAGTTGTTGTCTGTTACTTGAAACCGTGTCTGTATATTCTACAATTCAACTTAAAAGATGAAGTAAAGTTAAAA